GATACCGGTCCATCCGATACCCCGGCACTTCCTCGTTTCTGCGAGGTCGTTTGTGATCTTAAGGCTACTCGACACGCAACCGACGAAGACAAAGATTCGAGCGCAAACACCGATGTAAGCAGGAATGCAACTGAAACGCGGAAAAACGCAGAGAGGTGAGATCTTTGACGAGCATAGTGAAAACGACAATTTGAAGGAATTGAAGAAAGTCTGTGATAATATTGAATTGTTTTACAATAGTAAACATTTCGCGGCGCCTCGATAGGTACGCTGCGTACAATTACGCTGTACCATTTCACAAGGTAAGGATTAATGCGCTTCTAAGTCTCGTCTCGGTGTTCGTGCCTGAAACTGCTAATTCGAGATTGATCACGTTGGCATTTCTCTGGCAAGAAAATTAACGCGGTTGCACAGCATTGACAGGGTTTTACCCGTGAGATATCCGATACGCGATCTCTACGTTGTTGACTCGGAATACCGGTCTATTCGGTGCTTCAACCACTCGAGTACTTCCTTATATCTACCGCGCGCGTCATGTGTAAGACCCGATCGTTACATAGTATCGTTGCGTTATCATCAAACGCAACGTTGTTTCCACTTTACGCGCAGGGAAAAGTAATACCGGCTTTATGCGAAAGCTAATGATTCGAAATTAAACGATACGAATATTACGATCAAGTTGTAGAAATAAATGTCTGGGGTGAACAGGAAAGGACTTGACTGCAACTTTCAATACAATAATAATTATTATAATTCTTCCACAATCTATAGTAATTTTGAAAACTTGCGCAACATAAAACAATCTCAACAAATATTTGGTGTCTACGTAGGTTTAAAATGAGGGAACTAAATCATTTATTTTGGCACTAAAACCCACCTGAAATTTGAAGATATTTTTTGGTAGGTATCTGCACTTGGAGCTAAATTCACAAAATAATTACGTAATCAGTTTCTTATAAATAAAAAACCGAGCGGAAACCAGTGACCAAAATGTTGTACATACACCAATGCCCACTAATGCCCAGTGGGCATTACTTTATCTTATCTTATTTATCTTGTTTTATCTTATTTTATCTTTATAATGCCTCAGCAAGGCCTAATGCCCAAAAAATGCCCAGTAATGCCGCAAATCTGTACACCACAATGCCCTGAGCGGTTTCCCCCTCGTAAAAAAACTGTTGTCATTTTGTTAAATTTTGTAAAAATTGTTCATCTCAAAGGGTAAGAAATTTTTCTTAAAACGCGCATCTCCTATACAAATAGTTAATCTAGACATTCATCTTCTATCGCAAAATAATTTCAGTACATTTGCCACTTCGGCAACGTTTAACAATGAATCATTAATCAACTGGGAGAATGGGAGAATGGGAGAAGAGAGGGAAACGGACTAGCTCTGATTTGTTTCGCGAACGACAATCAGCTTCTCGGAGCGCGGATCTCGAGACGATTTCCGTGCGGCGTTCATTAGCGATCTAACGAAGATCATAGCGCGATCGGGAAGCGTATTACACCTCGTTACACGCGCACACACTCACGTGCATCCACCGGGTTAAGGCCGGTCCCCGCGATCGCGGAGCACGCGACGATCCAGGAAACGCCGGCAGGCGGGATAATGCGGACGGCACAAGGGGCCTTTAACAAGCTTGGACGAGAGGCACATGCGCGAGCGCGATGCTGCACCCAACTAGGCTGACTTTCCGAGACCGCCCGCATTGACGACGGCCAGGGAAAGGAAGAGAGAAAGATAAGGAGAAAGGGAGGAGGGGAGGGATAATAAGAAACGTACACCTCGCACCGGTATAATGAGAACTATGGCGCGACCGCTAATACACCGGCCCGAGCTGATACTTTTTGTCGCGGCGCGAAGTCTCCCCTCGTTTTAGAGCATCGCTTTCCAACCATTTCCGAGCGACAGAACGCTCCTGATTGCTGGAAAAAATGCTGCCGCGTAAACATACATTTTATTTCTTCAAAGTATGATTACGAAATATTAGCAATGAAATACTTAAGAGGGAATAAGCATCGTGATTACTATGAATAGTCAATAATGGCATCAAAGATTAAATCGGTATGATATTCGAATTGAATTGATTTTCCCGGTTTGAGTCGATTATCGCAATTTTGTGGTAAATCGCGTACTCGCGTGAGTGAAGCGCGCGCTTTTGTTGTTCGTGTCATCGCAGAAAGAGCCTCGCAGCGAATATCGATTATAAACTGACGCAAGCTCCAATTCTAAAGTAGTTGCCTCTATTTAGAGATTGTTAATTTGTCCCGTTATGCGTTAATGCGTTTCTGTCGATGTAATTATGTATCTGCCTCTCGAGCGCTTTGGACGATTTTAAAAACGGATGCAGCTGTCAGAACGGGCAAGGGATATCGAAGACGCGAATTAATTTCGATCGCCGCGTTAGCGATACACGGAAAGCGGAAACGCTCGTAACTTGCGACGGTTCGCTGCGTTTAGCTTTATCTACCGTGTTTATCCCGTACTTCGCTGTGGCTCGTGTGTGGCATATTAAGTTGCTCTCCTGAAACTGCGCATAAACAAGATAGAAGCCCGATCTTCGTACACCGCTTTTAGTGTATCTACGTGACCTAACGTAATATAGTGATTGCGCGATTCAGCAACGGAGGCTTAACAGATCAGTTTCCGCTGGTAATCATTTTCGGCTCTCTTGAGTCTCGCAATAGTTTTACAGACTCGTGAAAACAATAGATACAAGTAAATGATTCGATTAATGTAGAGTTTCATTTTTAAGGATCTGAAATACCAAACATTGGTGGATACGAAACAATCTCTTTGGCAAACTTATTATTCGCTAAAGCATACTGTCTAAGAGCCAATCACTGAAAACGTTGAATGCTCACTGATTCACAGTTAATAGCATGCCACTGCGATTTTCAGTTATAACTGCGAATTAGCGGCTATTCGTCGATTTCGGTGATAATCCACTCATTGACTTTGAGGGTCAGTTTAACAAACGTTGTTAACTGCTAACGGAAGGTTAATTGATTATCTGTCTCTTCTTGGCTACAAGATAGAAAAGGATAGGGAGTTGTCTGAACTCTGGTTAACGGTTAACCGACGTTTGTGAAATCGGCCCTTAGAGAGTACACAATTCTGCTTGGCGTAAATTAAAAGACACTCTGTATACATACCCTCCGCGGTGAAAGGCTTCGACACGTGTTAAAAAATGCAGCGTAGGTGGGAAGTCAGCGGGATGCAACGCTTACTTTGCGTAAGAGAGGGATCATTAATACAATTAATAATTAGCTAGTAATAGAGGAATGGTTGAGTCCTGCGCATACGCACACCAATACCGTTACAATCCCACATATCGCATTAAGAGAATTGCGAGAGACAGCGAAGGCGCGCGTCCTTCAATGAAATCGTCTCCCCCACGGGTCCAAGATGACGACGGCTCACCGACCTCGACGGTGTCAAGGTCACTAAGACCGCTACCATCTTTTCCAGACGGGGGGAGTCGTCGTTAAAATTATTGTTACGCGATCGACGGCCGATTAGCTATGATTAATATCGGCATTGACATTAGACCATTACGCAAGGAGAAGAAAAAAACGGATCGATCGCATAGCGTAATTATTTCGATTATTTCGAGCCGTTAGTCTGCGGCAAGATCTGCTAATTAAAGTATGTTACACATTGATATCGTGAGAATTGCAGAAGTTAGACACAAGTTAGGCGTATTGCGTAGCTCGTAGCGCTATGGCGCTGCTTGACGTCTCGGCTCTCGTCGATCGCGCGATTCGCTCCTACTCGAGAGATCCGAGAATCTCTCCTCGTATTTGTGAAAAATGTGTTGGTGTAAGGAACATAAATTTATTAAAACAAGCAAGCTGGTACATTTCTGACAAACAGTTACTCGCATATTCGGGGAGTTAATTTTTTCCAGCTACTATCAGTTTTACTGATGCGTGACAAATTTTACATACTCATTAGAGATTCAAGGACACGTGACGGCACGTTAACCGTAAATGTGTGGTGGCAAGTTGGAATCCATAAAATCTAAGCGTGACACCTCAATTTCGTCAAATCGTAAAGAGAGATAAGATAGGCGCGAGACATCGATCGGGAGGAATCCAGACGCGAGCGATCTTAATTAAATTCGTTGGCAGCTCCGAAATTTCTCGCGTCTCGTATCCCGGCGAGATTAAGCATGCGATGCTGCCGTGTCGCGTATCAGCGGAATTTCGCACGACCGCGCGCATAATTTCCCGGCCAGGACGCTTCTTGGAAGCGGCCGCCGAGAGACGAGTTCGCTGGCGGAGCCAGCCGAGAGAACGAGAGAGGAGAGTCGCAGCGAATAATTTCCACAATCTGGGATCGCTCTCTCTAGGGCCGTAATTTTTTTCCGAGATATACAAGACATCGCGGCATCGCCAAGTAAAATCGTTTTGCGCGATCTCTCTCCGGCTCTCCTCTCCGTTCTCGCTCTCTCTCTCCTTCTCCTCGACCGGCTTTTCGTGCACCTTTATAGTGGCAACGCGCATTAAATTCTGGCCGTGTATGCGCGCTCGTATCGTGAATCGTCCGGAAGATCGTCCTTGCGGACACGTCCCGTCGCGTAACCTCCGCATTTTATCAGATTTTAATTCGGCAAACGGTACCTTGGTCCTCGCGCGCGTCGACCATCGCGGTGTACTGTTAGACGAAGCTTGAAGGGTCAGTTTTATAAGGTCGCCGGTTAATCAAATCTGATATCTATCTTCTCAGTCTAAATCTGAATTCTAAACCTATTGTGTAAATTTCCTATCCTCGCACAGAATTTAATAAAATACAATTTGTTGTATGCAAAGTTCAATTATAATATATTTTCATATATCGCTCATTTTCATATGTCGCTTTTCGTAAAACGTAGCCGACACACATTTTGAGTCTAAAAGATCAAGCAGCGCCATTTCTTTCGATCTCTCTCGCTCCGCTACGTATGCAGGATATGTCGCAGTTTTTTTTATGGTGTGATATTGCCTGGACTCACCGATCCTCTTCACGTGGACGTCTCGATTGAAGGAGACGCTCCTCTCGGCGGGTTCGGAGACGGAATGCGCCCTGGGTGCAACGGGGGGTAGTAAATGCGTGCCGGGAGGGTTGCAGCCTTCTCCCCCTCTTAGCAATTCCGAGCGCTGTATCGTGAGCATCCTGCCTTTCAACCTTTTCTCCCGATCATGCCACACGACCGGCTAAGGACACCGTTTCCCGTTTCGCTCGCCCAAACCCCGTCTCGTGCTTGTGCCTACACCTTTATTACCCCACCCCAGAGCGTTCTCACCCCCTGATCTTATCTTTCCTTTTTCCCTTTCCTGATCTCACGAGCACCCCCGTAGACCTGATCACCGACCTGTAAGCCAAGCAAAGCTGCGCTTTTAATATCTAAAGTAATCTCGTCGACGGGGATTTACGAGATTTAATCCCTTTTTCGTTCGTTGCCCCCGTCCGAAACAGCCTCGCAATTCGTTCGTTCGGTCGATCGAAAGTACGAGAGTTTGTTTGGAAGCTCGCGTTCCCTAATTCCCAACGCGAATAATACGATTCTATCGCAACGAATTAATTAGACGTACGATGCAATTGCGTAAGCTGATGGGATGTATCAACTGTAACAAGCTCTTCCAGACTCGCTCCGTTTTCCAAACCAACAATCGGCTGAATTGTTCCTCAATTGTCGTGAGAGCGCGGTTTACGTTCGAGAACGCGTGCTTTCTGCACACGATATTTCTACGCACGCGCGCGCGTATGCATGCGTGAAAAACGTGAGAGAAAGAGAAGCGATAGCATCGTGCGTTCCCGGCGACGTGTCTATACCAGCGCATGCCAACTGTAGGTAGATGATGATAAACGCAACGAGTGATAATGGTTCTCTTTGTCGTCATGCAGGCAGATGGGATACTCGAGATACGTGCAACGATATAATGACAGTGACAGGGATGACGGTGACGGCGCATAATATCGGCAATGGATTCGCTGATGAGAACTTTGCTAATAGGAGCGATTGTGCGATAAGGCCGCCGTCGTAGCTTTTTCCCTGCATCCGTCCGCATTAAGCGTTATCGTAATTATGGCCAGGATTCTGGACGTAACTCCGTGGTTCGCTATCGACGCTACGATCTAAACGCAACGACACCTAATTTAAATTTCATAGAGGCTGAGAGCTTCAAAGCCTCACGTCGCCGGCTCGGGGCAACGCGATACGAAGTCGACTTGATTTTAATTAATTCCCGATACGGCGCGAATAAACTGTTCATTCTCATTTTGGTCACATTTTGTCGTCTGCCGCGAGTCGTCTGTCTCCTTTACGATAGGAGCGTGTTTATTGTACGACAATGTTGCTTCAGATTTATAGGCTTTCACTGAATAGTCGATCCAGTGTGTCAGCTTTCAAGCTGTACGGCCTAGTAAGACTCCCATTTTCATCGCTTGATAATCTGTTCTCTCGAAAATAATGTCTTCGTCTATTGCTTCATAATGCTGTGACGAAAGGTAGAGCATGTACAATGCAACAAAAGCTATCAAATACACGCGACGGATTTCTTTTTCTCGGACGATAAAAAGGAGAGTCGCACGGTCCGAAATGTGTCGAAACCAAGTGAGCCTAATCGACGAGACCCGTGACTGACCAAAGTGGTAGTTACGCTCCAATGATCAGTCGTTCTGAGACGTCGTTCGTTTTCACGAATTTACGTAAATCGATAAGGCAATCAGTCTCGGACTTTCCGACGTATAGAAGCACAACGGTTGGACATGGTCATCTCGATAAAAACGGTTCTAAAAATATCGCTGACGACGGTCACTCGGACGACACTCCAGCGGAAGCGTCGGGACTGCTCATTATGATTATAAGCGTTTTATTTCACTAGATGTTTTTCGCGCTATCGTGCAAAAACAACGTCCTCCTTTTTTCAACAAGTCGGCCTTCGTCGCGATCCTCTTACTGCGCCAAGTCGAATGCCGATGCACGCATTACGCGCCAAACTTTGTCGTTAATAATCAACGTGTAACTTGTTATCAGTTTGAAATTTCCAACTCACTGTATCTTTCAAGAATCCTATACAGAGCTTTCTATCTAAAATATGTAAATAAAAGAATTTCCTTATTAATTATATTTCTGCGCCGAAAATACGATTGGCAGGGCACACTTCGTAAGCTGATTCTGACAAAGAACTGTTCTGCTTCGCGGGATATTTTCAATTGTTAAAGGTATTAAACGTTCTATGAGTCGCGGCAGGAGCTTTTTGACAGGTGCGCCGCGAAAGAAATTAACATTCGTCGTGCGTTTTTGTCCACTCTGGCGGTCGAGCTGCCCTTGAAGCAAATCAAGGTGACCCTGCACGTGCGCGTGCGCGTCCATCTCTCAAGGCCATCTGACCAAGAGTGACACGTTGTCACGGACGAGTCCTCGCACGCGTGACACGCGGGGGTGAACCGTCACTCAACGACTTTATTAGCTCCGGGAGAGCGCGAGGGTGGAGGCGCGGGTTTCGAACGAGACAATTCGCATGAATCCCGATCCAGGGATTAAGATACGCTCGGTGTAGGCTCGGTAGCCATATTTGGCGAAGGGGACCGCAGGGACCCCCGGGTCGTCCCCCGCGGGGACCCCGCTATAAAAACCGGCGTTAATATATTTTTTTTCGGGATTCGAGAGTTTACGACGGGACCCTCTCGCGCGTCGACTCCCACGCGCCTTCTAGTTCGCCCTAATCGCGTGGAGAAACGCACAATTCGATCCGGGGGGTGGGGGCGAGAGGGCAAAATAAAAAGAATCGGCGACCGGCGCAGGTTTCGGCCGAACCGCGTCTAATGTACGAGAAGGCCCTCTAATGCGTCCTTCGTTATTCGCCACGGCGCTGGATAACAGTAAAACGAAGGATAAGAATGTCGCTAAGTGCGGCGACACGACACGGCTATATTCTCGCGATTTTAATTCCACCCTATGCATTCCGTGGCGTATACTTTTCTTGCTTACGAGGGGGAGGTCGGGAATTAAGATAGTTGACGGCGAGCGAGGAAAATTACATCGAGCGTTATGCGAGGGTAACATCGTGTCGCATTTTTCGTAAAAATACGCCCGAGATGGTATCTTACGTTATTTTTCTCGTACGAATACGGCGATATATTTCGTCGGGTTACTTCATAAATTTTATAGAACGATTGCTGCGGAAACGAACATTATTCTCCATACACGGGGGGGGGGGGGAGGAAGTTTTCTCTTGAAATTTACCCTGAAAACCATGTGATCGTGGGACAACAGGGCATTTCGAATGATTTTATGAGGGTTTTTTTGAAATTTTACCATATATTTTACTAGTAATTGTATTTAGTGTACATTTTACTGATGGAAAATATGGTAAAATTTCAAAAAACTGTCACAAAGGTCCTCAAAATGCTATGCTGTCCCACGATTACATGATCTTCCGGGTAAATTTCAAAAGAAAATTCTCCTCGCGTACCTCTTTAAGTACGTTAAATCAAGATAAATCCGGCAATTTGTTTTTCGTTACAAATATTCGGTAGCGAGAATGTTACGACTTCATCGGGCGTACCTGACACACACGCGAGCTAGGATCTTTTAATACGTGTTATTTGCCGCTTCCTAAGGTTGCGTAACAGCGCAAACAGGAATAATAAAAACGTAGCCTCTGTCGGTGCGTGCGGCAGCGCTCGCGTTCCGAATTTTGCGGTGATTTCATGTCGCGACGTCCTCGTCGCCGGTCATTAGCGATCAAATTCATTCTGTCTCGCGTGCCAGAGTCGGAATTCTCACGGACGAGACGGGAGGGAAAAAATCGGACGGGAATCTTGAAAGCCGCGCGGAGTCGTGGGCGAGGCCGTGTTCGCGCATCGTTCCAAACGTTTCTTCTTCTAACGGTGCCGCGCCCGCCTTTGAAATATTTCACGTTGGTCACGGGGCAAGAGCGCGAAAATCAGAATCACGCCGGCAATAAAACCACACCGAGCCCGGTTATACGACACTATTTTCTCTAGCCCTACAACGCGCGCGCTCGGACACCGCGATGTAATAAACACTCCCGTTTCGCGCGCGCAAACCGCTTAGCACCTTCTTCATTGACTTTTATTGACGTGTAGAAGCCCGATAATAAAATCGGAGGAAGCGCCCGTTCCCCCGCAACCAGATGCGAGTGATTCGCTCGAGCCTCGAAGGTGCGAAGCCCCGTGTCCGCGATCGCGATCCAATCGCTGTTAGAAAGCCGCTGTTGGATTATAGAGCACGAAGGAATCCAAATGGCGCGTCAATCATAGATGGTTTATAGCAGTTTGTGCACGGATACGGAAAAAATCCCATATAATTTTCACGTAACAGTTTAATAGATCCGGAGCTAAGTTTCTGTACTACATTTTGTACATGAAGTTTATGCCTACGTAAATCTCAAGAGAGAATCTCTAAAATGCACTTATAAAATTTTATATGTTATATACATAAAAGATTCCATTTCACTATTTTTGATAATTCGTTTCTTGTACTTAATTTTTCACAAAAATAGAGGAATCTTCTATTGTGAGATAGGATCCTATTCATTGTTGGATTGTGTAGCCGTTGCAATAAAAGATTTGTGACTGAATTTGGGCGTTGAAAACCTGCCATCTCATATTAGAAACCTATTTCATAATAAAGGACTTCCCTCTATTCATTTTCTAAAAAAATTTCTGGTCGACTCTACACTCGCAGTTCTTATCCGTATGAATCGTAGAACTCTATTTAATTGAAAATATTTCATAACTTGTCTCTCGATAAACTTTTTAAGTCAACATAAAATTCTACAATCTTGAATAACCAGAAGAGAGCATTTCTCACGCGAATTTGAACACTTAAAAATTAAGATAATTGTCCCTCCTTAGGCCCCTCGTTGGGCCGCTCGTTCGCGAAAACAAGTTAATGAGACTCCTTTTTATCTCGTTGTCTTTTCGCCGGCGAAGCGGTGCGTTTTACAGTTAATATCGCCAAGACTGTCCAATAAATTTGCGCGGACATCGTGTAGTATGACCGAAAAAAGATACGCCGGTCTCGACTGGGCGCTCATTACGAGCGGCCGCGGCATTTCCGCGTGCGAGCTCGGCGCTTATTTTTTCCCAGTGCTCCCAATGCAAGCTCGAAACCCGCCTTTCGTTTCTAGCCGTCGCCCGTTACGCCGCGCAGTCGGAGAATCGACGAGGCCGGGGAAAGATTTTAATTTAGATCGCCGCGCGCGCACGAGAGGAATCGCGCCGCGCTCGTGTAAAGGCTCGAGAGGAAACCTCGGGGCGCGTGTTCCCGGGGCACCGGCACTTATAAAATTTCTGCTTCGACGCTGCCCTTTCCGACGCTCCGCACGTAGATCCCTATGAACTTTATCTCTAACGGCTCTCGAGCGCTCTGTCCGGGACGAATCCCTGCGTTTACGCCCGACACACAATTTGCCAATAGATCGTATCTCGGATGTGCTTTCGGCTGTTCCGAGTTCTCAGCTTTGTTCATCCCGATATCGTTTCCCTTGCGATCTTTCGAAAATCTGTCGCGGCTTCTCAGTTTCTTCACATTTTCGCGTTTTCCTTCGGATTGGCGTTCGTGCGTGAGACGTTTTGCATATTAAAACGGTATCGCTATTTCATTTCCGACATTAAGTGATGAAAAGACGATCCTCAAAACTCAGTCCACATAAAATATTCTATTTTGACGACGTTGTCAAAATTATCATAGTAATTCCGACATTTATAGTATTTTATCGCGATGTTAAAAGAAAATTTACGAACTTATGAATTTATAATCGCATTTTATATTCTATTTAAAAAGATATAGATGGAATTAGCATAAATCAGTGTCATGGCATGTCTGCACAAAGATCAAGGTTTCAATACTATAAAGCCAAACACAAACTTGTTTTATTTGCATCGTGTAAAATAATATAATTACATTGTAGAACATTTTAAAACCGTCAGCAATTTTTTTGAAAAGTTTTAACTTCCTATGCATCAAATCATTTTGCAGTCTAATGTGCACTGAAAAACAATCATTAATTAGAAATCTGCTTGATTCAACCAGTCGTCTGTTAGAAAATGGACAAATCAGAATTCCTCAAACTATCTAAGTTTATCAAACTATCCAAGTCTTCTGGTTATGAAATATTGAGCCCTATCGTGATAACTAGATATTCTGTTTGGTTTAACCAAAATACATTCCATCGTACGCTATCTAAAAATCAATCGGTGGATCATCACTGATTCACTATTAGAGAGCATGCATTGTTGATACAATCGAAGCATTTCTTTCAGTGTGAGAATCTGTTTAAAACATTTTTCGCGGTAACCGATATAGATAATCTTTCGTGTTTGAGGTCTATCAAACTATCGAAGTTTATCAAATTATCCAAGTCTTCTGGTTTATAAAATATCGAGTTCTATCGTGATAACTGGAAATTCTGTTTGGTTTAACCAAAATACATTCTATCATACGCTCTCTAAAAATCAATCAGTGGATCATCACTGATTCGCTTTTAGAGAGCATGTCTTGTCGATACAATCGAAGCATTTGTCTCAGTATAAAAATCTGTTTAAAACATTTTTCGCGGTAACCGATATGGGTAATCTTTCGTGTTTGAAGTCTAAAGGACGGTGACGAATATTATCCGAAAGAGCGAACCGTTAGTGTATCGCCCCAACCAACTATACGGAAATATGACTCAGAACTAATAGAACAGACTCGCGCAACGGGCATGACGCAGATGCCAGAAATGGCAGTGGAAGTCGCACAAGTCGCGATCGTGACTCGCGAGAGAAAGAAAAACACCGGCGCGATCGCGCTTCATTTGCGTAACCGCTATTACGTCCCGCGCACCTTCTTCGTCGCGCGATTACGCGAGGCGGCCTATCGCTTATCCGCGGCCTGGCGGAGGGAATCTGGACGCCACGCGAAGGATCACGTTACGTGCGGGTGCATTATGGTGAATGGATCCAGCAACGGCGATTCCCATCGAAGGCGTCCGTCCCGTCTCTTTCTCGCTCGCCCGCGCGAGCGCCAGGTAACACTGACATACTTCGTATACGTCAAGGCCGAAAGTTCTCCCGGTACACGGTGTGCTTATCGCTGCGCCGTCTCGCGTATTCGTCTTCTTTATATCCGCGTACGTCTCAATCGCGACTTACACGCGACGCACGCCCGCCCGCCCGCCCGCCGTACGCTGAAACGCCGTGTGATAAAACGATATCGGGGAGACTCGGAGAGTGGATTTGCACCTCGGGCTGATGGGCGTGATCTTCATCTCGTGAGTGCGGACAGGCGAAAGGAAAACAGCGAAAAAGGAGCAATCGAGTTCTGCGCGCCGAGCGTACTTACAATTGGAGCGGTTCTTATGACAGGAGACGTTGTAACATAGATTGTTTTCGAAAAGTAAAATTAAATTCAACTTTCGAACAAGACTTTTAATTAAGCGCGTGCTAGGAAAGTGCCCCGAAATGTATGTCTGATCGTAGAGCCATTTAACTACTTGCCTGAGCTTCTGAGACCTAGTTTGTTTGAAGTGAAGCAAATTTGTTTGAATTTTGACCTTACTAGATTTTTATTTAATTTCAAAGAAATGATTTCTTTACCTTAATCAAAATTTTATTCAATTGACACTGAAATTGTTAGGACAATTCATATCAATTTCTTGAAATCTAGCAAATGATTTAGTAGAAGTAAATAAAAATTTAGTAGATTCAGAGAAACGTGATTTGACTAACTAAATCTTTTTTTCTGGGTGTAGACTTAAAGAAGATACTATAAAATTGAGCCAACCCTGCGAACTTCTGTATAATTAGACTTTCCGTCAAGCTACTTTTAAACTGCTTGTCATCAGCAAATGACACGGGACAATTTTTATACATTGTACCCGTTGAAAAACTGATTTGACACGCGCAACAAATTCGATGACACAGAGACGCGTCGATTCGACGAGTCGTGTAATTCGCGGTCGTAAATCTCTCGGCATTAATTCGGCAGACTCGCCTAATCTCGACAGAGATCCTCGAGGACAGATTTGATCGTCACACACGTGCTGGACATTTCCATAAATGTTTATTCCCGCCGTAATCGGCACGCTCGGACGTCGGCGCGTTGTTAATACAGCCGCATCAATGAATAATACGCGTACCTCCTCCATATCCTGCTGGTCCCGTCATATCGCGATCGCTCCCCATAGCGAGCGGGCGAGGAGCTCGGGCATGATCGGCCGACTCGATCTCGGTACGGGCAGATTAAACGCCTAGATTCGCGAGCGCGCGGGCCGCGAGAGAGGCCTTAGCTGCCTAGCCGCACACGCGGTGATTAAAGTGTCCGTTAACGCGAGTTAATTGATCTTTCAGTTAATGGGATATTACCCTTCCGCTGGATTTCTGGTTTGCCCAGCGCCCGGCCGGCCGGCCGACCGACCGACCGGCAGATCCAATCTGCGCGCGAAATAACTCGCGCTCTCGCTCTCGCGCGGCGCGGAACTCTCTATAATCTATTCGGGCCCCGCGAACGCGCGGCGCGGCGCGAACCTACCTACCCGACCTACCGAAGACGCCTCGTATCGTTTCCCTTTCGATCAACGTCCGAGTGCATCTGCCGGCTCGATCCCGCGGATCGACTTGTGGCAGCAACATCCTCGTCATCGTCGTCATCGTCACAGTCGTCAATACGTATCGATATCACCTCGCACCTCGATATTAGATTTACCTTTACTAGTACAGTAGCATTCCGATCACTTAGATATCCGGTATATTCTCTGGGGATACGCCCCTTCAGGTACGATCGGCGGTCCCCGAACGGAACCAGAAGAGCGAGACGAACAAGGACCTTGTTTCTCTCCCTTGGAGAAACTTTACTTATATTCGAACTGAACACTCTCACGTTCGGCAACTGTCACTATCACCGGATCGCGAAATCCGCGAGGTCGACTCGACTCAGCACCACCGATTGCAATTGATTAGCAAAGCGAATTCTGTCCTGTCTTTCCTTCCCTGGCGGCAATTTTCGACACTCGTTATTCGACACCCGAGACGCAACACCCAAGGCCGAGCACTCGACACCGGATAAACCGGCGAATTCGATCTACTAAGCTGTCTCGCACTGATGAATATTATATATCCGAGATCGCACTCGGTATTACGCGATCCTTCAGACCCCGAACTCGCTCGTCGTGTCGACACCTTGTCGCCGATAGCACTGATGACGTTCGTACCTCGCGCGTACTCAGCTGCAGAGACGACCCGGATGACTAGGGGGGTCTGGACCAGGGGTACAGACGCGCAGACCGCCGCCGCACCACGCACACGCCGCTCGTTCTCCGTTCGTTCTCCGCCGAGCGCCGAAGAACTAATAAAAGCTGGGACCCAGGTTGAAACTGCGTAGGCCGCTTACTACTCCTTCCACCGCGGCACTCCGTCCTATCCCACCGGTGTACCGGACCCGGGCACCGACAGAGACAGGCAGGAGAGTAGGCACGGATGGACGGATGAACGAACGGACGGACGTACAGAGCGACTTCAAGGTATACACATGCCGGGGAGAGCGCGACGAGTTTCTAGGTAAATAGTCTTGCTCATCGAATAAATCCTTAGAGTCAATGCGTCAATAAATGACTAGGTAGTGTTATCGATTCGAACAGTTCAATTTTTGCTCACGGAAATACCATCTTGTTTCACGCTAACGTATTAGTCCAGATATAAACGGCCAAGCAATCTTGGCCATTAAAGGGTTGAGAGTAGAACTGAATTATGAAAAACATTATATTTTTTTCAGGACGAGATATCAGTTCAATCTGATATCTCGTACAACACGCACTTCTCGATATTTTTACTTGCGTTTAACAATTAATAATGCAACTTCAATTGACTTTGCACTCTTCAACCAAAGAGTGCAATCATTTTTTGATTAATATCTTACTAACATAACGATACTGGCCAAACGAACGATACGAGATCATTAACAATCGTGTGAACAGATTACTTGAAAAGGGTCCAAATCTGGGACCGAAACGTCGTTTTTTAAAAATAAATTTAATAATTTTTTTTAAACTACTGGCGATATTAAATCCATTTGTGAGTTATTAATTTTTTATTGAAAGCCTTAAAATTTTTGTCGACTTCTAGAAAATCTAGATTTGTCGTTAAAATAGACAAAAACTAAATCATAAACGCATTTTTTGTCATTAAATTTTTTCATGTGAAAAATATACTCTTCAGAGTTGTAAGTAATAAATAAAACGTGTTATGAAATCATTAATGATCGTCAATCAAGTGATTACTAGTAAATGTTTCTGTATTCATTAAAAGCTAACATTACGTCGTTATCTTTAATAGAAATGAAAATACAAGGAAATATGTACAAGTTTCTACTATCTATATATGCATTTTTCGAGAGGAAACCAGTTATAAATGCTATTTCGAAAGATATCGTTACTCATTACGAAATTTATATAATATTGTACATTTCTCTTTAAAAATTTTGTTAATATCAAATATTTCATTGTATTCATGTAATTTGCATACGTATATCTATCGATAAATATTGATCTATATACATCTATCTATATTTATAGATATTTGTTTGAATGATCTATTTGTATGATTTATTTGAAGAAGAGAAATTCAATTTCGAGAGAAATAAATTCGTACATTGATATTGACACTAAATTTTACCTGATAAGGGCGTTGAAAAAGGTTCGACGACTGAATAATTTCACAATGCTGGCGCTCGATTAATGTCTTCGGCCAAAGAATTGATGTCGATTGGTGTTGACTGATGATGAAAAATACATGGTGCCCAGTGTCCGATACATCGCGCAAGTATATCAGGCCATCACTATCGGGGCCCAGTTGGCCGCTCTCGTCGTTTCGACAAGTTCTCTTTTTCCTTCTTTATCTATTGTAATCTCTATTGTAACACCCGATGCCGCATTCAAAACGGTCCGATGACTCGGCCATTTCGTCGGTCCCGCCTGATTAATACTTCGGTCAAAATTGATGTCGATTGATATTGATGATGAAAGATACACGATGTCAAGTATTTGATACCTCGCGCAAGCATATCAGTGCCATCAGTAGCGGCCGGGTCCAATCCGGCGCTGGTCACTCGTTGTTGCTTCTGCAAGCTTACCGTCTCCTTCTGCCTCCCGCTTTCTCTCTTTTTCCCCTCGACCACTCTCTTCCCATCCTATCTCTCCCTACCTGAACGATTGCACGCTGCCGCCGCTGGTGAACGTCACTCGGTCAAGGTCCCCCACCAAAAACTTGCAGCGCGGCGGCGCGGTACCACGCTCGCCACTTCGCTCGGTCTTGTCACGGTCGAGTTGGTCCACGGACAATGCTATACTTGGTGTGAACCGACGTGACGGTCGCCAGGCGAGGGTGAGGCTCCCCGTGTTGTCCTCGATAGCGTTTTAGCGATGCTAAGTGAGTAGAGTGATGAGTATAGGCTTCGGCCTTCGGTGTGCACTCGTCGCGCGTTTCGGGCTGAACGTGGTTCTCTGGTTATCGCACCAAACCGCGAAGACACGTTATTGTAGTCAGATGTAATCTTAAAGCTATTCGGTGAATATACCATATATCTGCAGAGTTAAGATATTTAAGCTTTTTAAATTTTTTTATATAATGAATTAAAATGAACACGTGAGACGACTGGCTCGCTATTCATTAAATGTAGTGAACCGTAATAATTTTATAGAGTGCTTTAAACATCTTTTGCATAGAATCACAAATTAGTTATTTGAAAAAGATCGGCTCTTCGTTTGTGGCCGAAGGTACATGGACTAACCAAAATTGCTTTTTTAATTATATATAAGACGCTAAAAAATATATCCCGCCGATATTGCTTGTTTGCCGCATTTTCCACAGGTTGTTACAAATAGTTAGGGGGCAAATGTTAATAGTCTTGGCGAAGCGTTGATTCGCGATCACGCGTCGATGGTCGACGTCACGGACAGTAGCATATCCCGATAATAACAGGATATTTTACGATCGATTTGGCGGATAAGCGTGTTTACGTTAGAGATCTGGTCTCCGGACCTTATGCAGGGCCCCGTGCGGCGTATCGACGCGCGGCGTTGAGATGATACGCGGGCCATTTCAGCGAATATGACTATAAATAAAGAAAATAACGAGGAGAGGCTACTGGGCCGAGATCGGGCTGGCCGGGAGAAGGCAACAGGCACGCAGGAGGCGAGTTACCGGGAGAAAATTGTGCGCCACTAAATATAAGTATCGGGGAGAGGTATATATAGCGGCGTAGAGAGTAGAACGGACAGAGTACAATTACACGTGATTGAGGATCGGTCTTGTTTCTATTTTGTCTTGATTTCTGTGAGTAGTTAGCCCTGATCCCGGCCCGGCGTGGCCGGCCCAATCACAATGTCGACTCTCTCGCCGGAGCGGAGCTCCCTATTATGATTGGCGTAATCATCGCATGGGCGAATCAGCGGCACTCACTCGGCTACATAAATAATTGAGCCTTAAAGTCGGCCTACGTGCCGTGGATCTAGCTGATGAGGGGTGGAACGGGCCGGCGCGGCGGACGGATGAAGAGACGGTGCTCCACATTGGACATGCCGCCGTGCGCGCCACGCCGCCACTAAGAGGAGAGTTATTGCGTAGCATGATGATGGGGCAGCGCGGCGGATCGTTAAGATACGCACCCTCGACGGTGCCGCTGCCGCGGCCGGTACCACGGAAAAATGCGTTTATGCAAAGCGCCGATCTAATAAATGTCCCCGGGTTGCTACTCAATCAACGCTGCCGGGGTTATTGAGTTACACGGATTACGTCCATTACAACACATTGATTGATTCCGCGACGCTCACCCTTATTTCATTCACGAAAAGCGGCGCGTAATGCATCATCGTAACGAGGCTCGAAATTCGAACGTCTCATAATTTCGCTGTTTCACTCATTGCTTTCTGATCTTGGAGCCGTTGTGATCTCTCGTCATTTCGCCATTATTATTTCGTGCGATTTCAATAAGGAGAAACTCGTACGAGCTACTTAATACTTTGTTACGTAATTCTAAATATGAATTTTAATTGCAATATCCTCGGTAACAAATTTTGAATTACCGCAGCGTTGATCTTAACTTTAAACTAATAATTTTTCAGTTTCCATTATTATACACATACTGAGACATTCGCAATTTTACTTTGAAGAATTAACGCGATGTTTCGGAAACTCAGCTGTTCAACGTTGGAAGCGCATCGTGTAGGCCGCAATGCGGTGCACGAAAATCGGCGACACAGGTGCCGCGAGATGAAAAGGTTTTAAACCGCGCGATGGCATGATTGCGTCTAATCGGTGATCCCTGGCGCGCAGTGACGAAGTGCGAGGAAACGTCCGTGTGCGTGATTTACGACAGCGCAAGGGGTCGGTGGTTCTGGCCCGGGGAGAACTCGCGGGTCAGAAGATTTTCCTTCCGTGATGGACCGCGAGCTTCGTTCTCACACGTGATTGGCGTGAGTAAATGGGTGATGGCTAGACTGGGTGGAAGCTCTGAGATTTTCGAGATGATGATGATGATGATGATGATGATGATAATGATAATGATGATGATGATGATGATGACGACGACGACGACAACGGCGATAATAATGACGGTAACTTGGAACGAGAGAGCACCTAAGGTTCAACATATGCCATCTCTTCCTTCGTCTCTCTCTTTTTCTATCTTGAGCTCGGTTTGGAACTCGGCCTTGAACTTGCCGCCACGCTAATGAAGAGCGCCAACGAAGGTCTTTTGCTCACGGTGGACAGTCG